AAAGAGCCAGCCCCTCACTGGCAACTACAGTGGTAACCGCACCATCCACGGGTACATCATGCAACGTCCCCAGTGAACCATCCACAGGATTGACCAATGATCCAGGCATAGGAGCAACAGTAACCAACGTGATATGTGCCGTTAAGATACTAGCACCATCAGTTGCAGTAGATGTGGTAGCACCAACAGGGGAAGATGGGGGGGAAGAGACTCGTGTAAAGAATCGTCTGCATTATCAAAAGTAGCTGGAACAGTTTTGGTAGGGCACGTACAACTAACATGGCCCTTTGCCTTACAGGTAAAACACACACGTTTTTGCCCTTTGTAGTAAAGCATACACCAGTGGCCCGCTATACGGAGGCGAGCGGGAATTTCGGTACGTATCTCCATCAAGACATTACGCACTCCGGTATAAATTTTGAGATATTGCTCACTTTTAATCATTTTGATGGGACCATAAACACTGAGAACCTTGGAAATTTCCTCATCCGGAACACCATAGGACACACGAGTGATATTGACCCACTTGAAAAGGGACACAGGCTTAAAGGTAAGAGGGAAACCACGAACAGTAAACCCAAAGTTTTCAGCTACTTCTAACTTACGTGCACTTTTGAAAGTAACACGATATCGGCCAGGTGCCATTAAAACAACCGCCTCAAATATGTCCGTGTAGGAGTCGACCTGACCACGGAAGTCCTCAATAACTTCACGAACGTTAACGTCGCGAGCCTCAATCTCACTGTGCAGAATTAAATCTGCAGTACGATTAACAAATGGAATCATACTTAATGATATAAATATATATATATAAATAATTAGTGCACTAAATGCAATAAGTTATAATTAGTGTGTACACACCTGAGTGACACGAAACCTCTAAACTCGAACAGGCTATTGGAGGATCGTCACGCACAACCCCCCAAACAACAAAACGAAAAGGCCTAAAGACCCCTCCCTTCAGTTACCCCCTATAGGGCCCCTGGATTGGGAACAACCAGAACTCAAAACCCCTTGATAAATAAAAACCAAAAACCACAATGTACTTGTGGTGCACACACTGGAAAGAAAACACTCACATAGTAGGTACCAAACCTACGGCAGTGAACAAAGATAAGACCAGAGACCAAAAAAGAGACCGAGGCGACAGGACCAAAAACGGCAAGACCAACCGACCAGGCCAAGGCGACCAGACCAAGGTGGCAGGACCAAGGCGGTAGAACCAAGGTGCCAGGACCAGGACCAAAAGAACAACCAACGCAGCAGGATCAGGACAAGATAACCAAAAAACCAAGTAACAACTGACAAGGTGTTAAAATAAATTTAACCAAGCAAAAGCTCCCTTATATGTCAATACCAAACCACAGTATTCCAAATACTCGAAAAAACTTCCCGATTAGCCAAAAGGCC